TCATTTTTTAAAGTTTGAAATTTCAATAATATAATTTATAAACTACGTAAAAACTACATAAATTGGCTCGAGCAAAATCTGTTACAAATCAGTATTCGAAAAATATTGCACGGACGTCGGGGCGCAGATTCCGGAATGACATCGATTAGCGACGACGATTCGTTAGTCGCAGCCTGTCCTACAAAAAAAAGGGTTTTGTAACATTTGTGGCTCCCTTTCTCCCTGCACTACGTGCCTGATCCAGCGATTGGAATTCAACAGGTTGGGACGAAACAATTTAGCGCGCATCACGGGAGAAAGTGTGCGCGAGGCGATTTAAGCGATCGCGCCTAATTTATACGTCGGCGGCCGATCTGATCCCCGGATCGCTCATTCTCGATTTCTGCCGCATGCCTATCGCGTTCTCGCACGCGAGCGCACCGGCACGCACATACGGGGTGCCCGGCGAGAAGTATAAAAAAAAGCAACAAGGTTGATATATCATTACGTCCGGACGGGAGTTTTTCCCGGAACGAAAATTTCATTTAAATCGTTATTCACTGCAACTTGCTTCCCGGCGTTAATTATTCCGATAATTATCGTTCGGAATAAAAACTTGTTCAAGTGCAGATTGTATTGCCTGTTTACATTCTTGAAAACTAATTTGTCGGTCCCTTAATTTTTTTTATCTTAAACGAGTCCGTAATTAAAACCCGGTTTTAAATCTCCCCGTGAAACGGAAAAAATTATCTCCAAAGTCGAGAAAGACGTTATTTTTTTTTTTTCCGTGCCGTTCGCCGAGCATCCGATATATCGCCCGCTCCGATTTTTGCTGCATTCGCTCGACTGCCTCCGTGCCTCGCGCTCGTAAACTCGTGCCTCTTGTCTTATGCACCGGTATCAGCGCCCGGGCTTTGCGCATCTCCCGTTTCCTACTCGCCTTCGTCACGTCCACCACATTCGAGAGCAAAGCGGAGCGGCGCGGCGTGGCGCTTCCTCGTTTCCTGACAGCCGCCTCGTCGGTGTACACACATCCAGGAGCGCGCGCGGATACGCCCATACCACGACAATACGCGTTTGACACGCACCGTGCGCAGCGCGATTGTTAGCCCGCATCGGGGGAAAAAAAAAGCATTGAGAATTATTCGTGGTACGCACGTACGCACACGGAAGGCGGATGTACGGCCGCGCGGATGTTGCTCGAACGTAAAAATCGTGCGGAACCGTTCACCGGGAACTCTGTTATTTATTTTAAACTCTCTCGGATCTAAGCGTGCATTGGAACGTAAAGCGAAGAGAATTCGGAAATTGAATGGAGAGAGAATGTTTCTTTTTCAGGTCGCTTCCCTGCAAAACTGCAAAGATAGTTCAAATATTTCGAGAAATTTCTTGCTGAACCAGTTTTGAGATGAGTTGGCGTATTGTAAGGAGAAAAAAAGGTACGTCCATCGCGATGAACAGCGGGTCTGAAAGGATGAACAAAATTCAGGAGCGATAGCGCGACATGACATTGACCGATGACGCAAGAAAACGTGACGTAGACTTCACGCCTCTAACAATGGATTATTATAGATATTCGTCAGTCATTCCTGACTTTTTTTTCCAGAAAATAAAACTTTAGTACTTTGTTACAAATTATCATATGTTTAGCTACATACGTGCAACAATAAACATGAGTCATAAGTGATAAAAACATGTTTTACAATTTTTTTCTTTTGAGAAGAAATCTTTTTTTCTTTTCAAAAACTCGACTTAAAAATAAAATTTTGTCTTTATTTCGCATAATAAGTAATATTATTTTTTATTTTGATTCGTCATGCATATTTTCACTCACTCTGCGTGTAATACGTAATGCTAGTAATAAACGGTAAGTTATTACACGATTAAAAGACGTTTATAGAGGCTCCAGGAACAATATCTTGCATAATTATTGATATATTCAATTAAAAAATCTAATAAACGATTAAATTTCCATATCCTATGCAAAGTATACACTGAAAGTGTAATGTAAAAGCATAAAAAGCAATGGTTTCTTATCTTCAGAATCTATTATCACCAACTCCCAATATATTTTTAAAGTATCTATCTCGTAAATTATGAATAGAAAAATGAGTAGAAATAGAAATAGAACGCTATACACGAGAGAGAATATTAATGGAATCATCTAAAGTTTACAAATTTATATAGAATTAAAACATTCATGTAAAATGTATTAACGCTGACTTTTTAATTGGCGAAGAAAAAGAGGAAACGAAGAGGAAAAATAAAGGAACGAGCAATATGAGGAGAATTAAATAATTACTATGCACTCTCGTAAAAAATCTCGCGAGAATAATGATGTTAAAGTATAAAACGACTGGCTAAGCAAATAAGTAGATAAATGAATAAATCAAGACGCAGTTATAAAGTTGAATTCGCGATGCTGCGAGATGACATAACGCGCGGAAGATGACAACGCTCGAGTCGGCGAATTAATATAAGACGAGATTGCGCGTAACAATTAAATGGAAATATTCGCCGAAACGTTCGATGGATTATCGGCAATGCGATCGCGCGGCGAGACGTACAATAAAAGTCAAGCCGTAAAACCGCGATAACAGGTCGTAAACATTGCAGACGCGAGCTGAAAACCGCGGTAGCGACGAGGTATGTATCGGAAACAAGTTGCGCACGTAATATTGCGAAGTCGACATGTCACAAGAGCCGTGGCGAGAGAGACGGGTGGAGGAAAGAGGCTAAGGAGAGAAGAGGGAAGGAGGACAACGGCTGACGGGGAAAGAAAGAAGCATTGGCACGTTCTGGCACCGAGTGCGATGCCAGAAAGCGCGGCCCGAGAACGACTCACCGGCCGATCAGAGCGGCGCCGGACCGCACGCCGCTTAAAGTGCCGAGAAAGGAGCGAAAAGAGCGCGGACGCGGGGAGGAAAGGAGCGGTTACCTTCGGCAGATCGTCGAGATGATGGCGAGAGAAAGACGGAGAGTGGAAAAGAGAGTCCGGGATCCTTTCGACCGGCCTTCCAGCAGCGGGCGCACGCGTTGAAGTCGCTGATGCAAACACTATCACCACCAGAACCACCAATTTTTCACGAAATACACACCCCTTCCTTCGTCACGCACGCGATCACGCGCCGCTTCTCACCATTGACACGCGGCGAACTCGCCGTCACTCGCGATTATTCGAGAGATCGTCCGCGCGACTTCTCAAACGGTGAACGCGCGAACCGCGCAGAAACGGAACGCGAAGGCGTAACACAATACCGCGTCGCGACCACGCGCGCACCGATTCGCGATCGCTGGCATACGCGATTCGCGACTGCTTCCCGACGCGAAACTCACGCGTTCGCCGAGGAGGATCGCGGCCGTGTCGCGTCGTCCTTTGTACGCCGGATGCGCTCGCGATACCGAACGGCGTGCAGCGCGCGCGGAACGGAACACGGAACCGCTTGGCGCGCGTGCTGCGAACGGCTCCTCCGTACTGCCGAGCGTGACAGCGGCCACCATCCGAAGGTTATATCGCCTGGTCCGCCATGTGCAACCGCTGGCCTGACTCGCCTGCCTGCCTTGCCTGCCTGCCTGCCTGCCTGCCTACCTGTCTGCCTACCTATCTCTCGGAGTCCTCCGAGCCTTCCCCACCTCCTTGGCCGCGATACCGTACGCGGGGCCACCTAAAGCGTTTACCTGGCGAACGCCGGACTCGCACGAGCCTTCTCGGAATCGACCGACCGATCCTCCTCAACGCCGTACGAATTTTGCCGCGTGCGATTTTCGCTTATTAAATCGCGTATTTTTATCGCGCACGGGGCGCCAATCAACGTGCCTAAATGTATCTGTTTCATTAATAAATGCACCCGCATTTGTGTCCAGCGATAAATTCGAAAATTACACGTTAACACAATGCGAGAATCACAAACAGCCACGTCGCAAGCTGCATTGCAAATTCGAGCAGATGCAATATTGTTTGAAATATTGAACGAGACGGATAAATAAGTTATTATTGAGATAATCAAACTGTAGCCTGATATGATAGTTGAACGAATTAAACAGCCCGTAATTCATTCGCGACTCATGCCCACTTCACGGACGTAATGTCGAAATCGATTGCAATAAACCTGTTATCAGCGTCTGCAATACAGCGACGCCATTCATACGAACAAATCTCCGCGTTATCTTCCATACATTATCGTCTGTACCGCACCGCGTGAACAATGTGAAACAATAAGACATAATTATAATTATTGCAGAAACACATCAACACGGCGCATCTGTATATATATATATCCACAATTATTTTATGTAAATTTTCGGCACGCGAACTCGTCATTTTAAATGATGAAAAAACGTGACTTGTTCGCTTGAAAAGAAAATTCTTTTTCATCCACGATTTTGAGCACCACTGGCGGAAAATTCTGCTCAGCACGAATGTGTCAATATCAATAGCGGTTTGATATTTCCACAAGCGTTGCATCCGCTTATCCGTGACTAAATTCTTATTTTCACTCTCATCAACTCTGTCGTCGCACGTGACGTTCCGCAATGTTTAAACGTTACGCGTTCGTCTGACGCACAACACGTCTCTGCGAGACAACGTGAAATCGACCGTGGCCGACCGTGTATTCAAATTCGTTTGCACGTTTGCTCAAGAACGGTTACGATAAAGCAACAATACCGTCTGGTTGACAGTGGAATGTCTCATTTGCTTGAAAAACACCTGTACAAAGAATAACACATCGGCAACGTTTGAAATAACGAGAATAGGTGAATTCACGTGAAGGGTCGCTACTCCGAGTAGCTGTTTCCGTTCGATTTTAAGCTGCCTTACTTTTTCTTTTGTCTTCCCACTTTTAATTATTGCGCTCGTTATTCGCTTGTTCCAGATCCGATCGGCAATCTCATTAACATTCCTTCTATCTTTCTTATCTCTTTGACATTTCGCTTACTTCTGCTCTTTAAACTTTCAATAAATTCAAATAATGTTCTACTAATTGCAATTAAAGATATAAATATAACAAGAATCGACTCACCCATCTTGTTTCCGCTTCTTCTCCGGACACGCAGACATATTGTTCGAGACTTGATGCACTTAAATCAAAGAGAATACAATTATCAGAATTATGTAATCGGTGGAGTGCAAAAATAAAATAAGTATATGCTATATATCACGTTGTATATTTCTGTTTTGTAAAGATATGTTTTATTAATTATATTACTTTTATATTGCCAAAAAAAAAAGATTGAAAATCTGCTGAGAAATCTCTACGACAAATTATGAGACAAACATACTCTACAAACACATGTTGCTAAATATGATAATACCTAATACTGCTAATGTGTCTAATTACCTGGTGTATGTATTGAATGACTTCATTATGAGTTGCATTTTCTAAGGTGCGGCCGTTTACTTCTAAAATTTCATCGCCCACTTCTAAATTGTCCGCATTATCCGCCGGCGATCCTGCAAGCAAATACAGCACTGTTAATACGACGTTCAATTATCAAAATTCTTATTGCTGAATAGGGAAAATTGCAACGCACAATTCTGATAGCGCTTTGCACGCGTTGATTGTGACGCTTTGTTTTAAATGAATATTCCAACACGCTCTCGCATGGAATGTCGCATTCAATCCGCACAAAGTGAAACGTTAAAGCCTACAAAAATCGCTGTTCAAGCACCCGTGAATGTAACACATAATCTGCTTCGTAAACGAGGACGTATTCGCTAATGAGCACAACCATTTAGTGGGCATTGCCGTGACGAACTGTGCCGTAAACAAACTGTGGAAGCAATCGACTGGTGTATTCTTTTTTTAAGTCGCTCAGAATTCTGAATGGCGCGAAAAGTCGTTCACTCTCTCTCTCTCTCTCTCGCTCTCTCTCGGTGAAATGAAAAAAACCGTCGGAAACATGACTGACTTGTCAATGCGTCTTTACAATTCAAGCGTCGACATTCAAAAAACTAATACTTCATTGATTGTTTCACTTGCAAAACGTGTAGAAATTAATGTATATCAATATCCACGATATTACATATATTTTTTATATAAATATTATCTATTTTCTGAAAAAAAAAATCATTTTAAATACCTTCCAAGAGCAATATTATCTCTCCGACAGAAGTCAATGATGGAAGGGGTTAAACATAAAGTAAGCGAGTCCTTCTCGAAGCGATAAAGCGCACGTTGCGATAAGTAAACATAAAGGTCAGCCTATAAATATCACGTCGCGAAACGTCCTCTATGTAAATCGTCGCGCATTTACTGTAACGCGTCGCGTAAATCGGAAATCCGTCCGTCGTACATTTCCCGTTTCCGAAAGCGTGCGATGTGTGCATGACGTGTAAGCTACACGTACTACGATCATCGCTAATGAGAAAATTTTCACTTCTCATTTAGATTTCTACACACTTGTGGCGTCCTGGCATTAATGGGAGAAGCGATGATGCGCGATCGTTCCAAGATAATTGTGTCCGCTCGAAAAGGCGATTCCAAACAATGCGTTCGTTCGACAAATATTCGACGAGTCGATAAGCGTCGCATTATGCGAATAAGGAAGCGCGTCTCCGAGGCTGCATATCAATGTTCAAAAATATTGTAAAATAGAAATCGTAATGTCCGGGGAACATTGAGAAAATATGCGTCACGCGAAAATGCAGAATAGCACTTTCGAAAAAGCTAGTTCCAAAAACAATTTATATGATTCTGTTTTCTTTTTGAAATATTTACACACATTAAACGCTGTTTCATAAGCGCGGAAAGCAATTTTCGTCAAACGCACTCGTCGAATATTTGGCGAATTATCGCGCCGTATTTCAGCCGTGCTGGTTTTGCTCGCGCAAACCACTACGTACCGTAGAGCTTGATCTTCCCGTCATCGTTCGTCAATATAATAATGTATCCTCCTAGATCGACCATTTTCGCTAGTAATTATCTTCGGGGTACGTAGGGGTAGTCCGCTATTAGATTACCTCCGCGCGGCACTCCACGCGAATGACGCGCGCGCAACGTGCACGGCAAATCACTAATTACTTCGCACTCACGGCGGGTCCGCCCCGAAAAATCAGTCCGCCGTTATTAACGTCGTTAGCACATGCCATTTTCTCGGTTTCCTCTTGCATCTTCACTTCATTTTAGTATCGACCTCGTGACCTACTTCGCCGACTAACGACGATTTATTTTACTTTCAGCGACGCACAGAAAAAAAAAATCGCACTTCTCCGCCCGGCGCGTTTTCCCCGCTTTCTCGCTTCCGTGCGACGCTCGTCGCGTGCCGAAATCGTGCATTTAATCGCGCCTTCGACCGCACCACGCTCGCGATCGCAGACCGGGAGAGGATCGCGGATCGTCCGTCAATCGAAAACTCCCGAGACCTCCCACCGCTAAACGGACACTAAGGCATCTATGCTCCACACGAGGATGGTATAAGAAAATCGCTAGTACGACGAGAACTACGATACACGCTCGATAACGACGAGGAGCCACCTAAGAGATGGACTAAGGAACACATAATTATCTTTACGTTCGACACTCTTCTGCCGATCGCGTTTTTGTATTTATATTATATTATCCACGGCTCTACTCGTTTCTCGTCTCTCTCTCTCTCTTTCTTTCGCTCTTCGTAATCGCGCGCTTTTAATTCCCTCGTCGCTTAGTTTCGTTCCCGCGTTGTCCGTCGTCGCGAGGGCAGCGAGCAGGGAAACGAAGCGGCGCCTCCGCGGGGCCCGATTGCGCCGGGCCCCCCTACATCCTCACGACGGCGTGCCCCGCGAGCCTCGGCGTGAGAAATAGCGATCGCCAATTCACAATCGGGACCGGGACGTCTTATTGATCACCGCTTCGACTAACGCTCCGAGTGCCGCTTCCGCGCTCGCACCACCACCGGCCATCGTCCTGTCGTCGTTGTCGACGTGCCGCATCCACTGCATCGGCGGTGCACGGTGCCGGAAGCGCGTACCAGTTCCGACCAGCTGCTGCTGGTGCTGCTGTTGCTGTCGCTGCTGCTGCTGCTGCTGCTGCTGCTGCTGCTGCCGCTGCCGCTGCCGCTGCCGCTGCTGCCGCTGCTACTCCTCCGATCCTGCTTTGAACGCGTTAGCGCTACCACCCCTCGTGCGGCCGCACGTCGGCGACGATCGTTACCGAGCATTGGACCAGCAGCGCAGGGATCGAGCACGGCGTCCCGGACGATTTCCCGCGGGATTCCTCGGCGACGACGATCGAGATCATCGCGGGCAACGATTCTCGCTCTCTTACGCAATTGCGGCCTCCTCCTCGCTCTCACCCGCTCGCTGTTTCCTCCCGTTCGCGGCGCGCGGCGTTTATCGATGTTTACGCGTTTTGTACCGCGCGCGCTCGCTTGAACGGATCAACCTGCAACACTTATTCGTGGAATAATAATGATCGCTGCGTGCCTCCTTCGCGCGTCGACTACCTCGACGTCCCTTCGACTCTCCCGCTGTATTCCTCCGGCGTGTCAGTCAAGACGTATGTGTGCGCGAACGAGCCGTATCACGCTCGCGGGAGTGACAGCACGTCCCTCGTGTCGTTCCACGCAGTACGACGACGCACGAAGACGAGGATCGAATCTGGTGTGCCGTACTTCCGTGAAGATCCCGCGATCGACATCACACCGTTACGTTACCTTCGCACGTCCCGATTTTTCCGGCACTCGTCTTCAATTCCACGGAAGCTTTTTCCCGGACGTCTCAGGCCTGTTCCTTTTTCTCACGGGCGAATCAACACCGAGATTCTCGAAATCCCAGGTCGTCCGATCGGAGGAGCCACGATTTCACGGTCCTCTTCGGTTCCTCGTACATTGAAGAAACACGATGGCAACGATGATTCTCGAGGCTCTCACTTTCGCACTATAGCTGCTCCACAGTTTAGGTCTTTGGGTTAGGACACGCACTGTGCTCTACTTCTCACCCTCCTTCGTCACGACGGCGCGCAACCTCCACCCTAATCGGCCAGCACGATGCACCTCGGGGAGCGGCGCAACGGTCACCCCCGGCCGAATCGCGAGTAGACTGTAACTGAGAGCGAGGGGTGGACGGGCGAGGGACGGGGGGAGGGGTGGAGGTCCGCCTCGCGGCGGCGGTTCTATCTCGCGGGCGACGACGAGGCCGACCTCGGGGTGAAACGCGATGCCCGTAACGATGGGTGTGAACCCGGGGTGTACGTGTGCGTTGACCGACGGCGGCGGCAGCCCTGCTGAACACCACCGCACTCTCTTGCTCGCTGAAGTGCCGCCTCCAGCCCTCGCCGCGAAGCGCCGTCGGCGGCGACGATCCGCGCCGGCGTCATCCTGTTGGCGGCAACCCCCCGGTCTTCGACTTTCGAGCCCTCATACGCCACAACCTTCGTACTGTACCCACTGCCGGCTCTAGAGGGATGATCGAAACGCGCAGCTGTTTAGGGCGCCGAAAAACAGAGCGCGCGCAAAATACTCCGCGCAAAATACCGTCAAGTGGCCTTGAACACCAATTCGTACTTTAATCGTTGAACTTTCTTCTTCGATTTCTTACGATTATTACGGGAGGAGAGTGCACGGTGCGTTTCGAAAAATATCATTGAGGGTATCGATATGCCCTCAATGATATAGCCGCCGCTGGCGATGCCTATCGCACGAAAATTACGAGAACGCTGAGTGCATTTTATCGACTGTTTTTCCGTTGACTACAGATTCTTTGATGACTTTTCAGGAGGATTTCTTTTTAACGAAGATTGGATGAAAAGCTATTACGCAGTTCCTTCGATTTTAAGCGACTAAAGAAACTATTATTTTCTGATCCGTATGATTTTATGATGCCATTATTTTCATTGTCAGATATTTTCGAATCGTTTAACGATAGACTATGTCGTTTTTGCAATATCTCGCAAATAAAATTAACGAAGCAATTAGATAATCAAATAAACATTACAAGCGTCACAGTCAAACTGGCCATAAAACAATGTACAAATATTACCATTAAAAATATTAGTAATTATTGTTGATAACATTCAATAATTACATAATGCCAATTCATAAAATACTAAAACATTTATAATGATGCAAAACCAATTGTTGTAGAATAACATCACAAATGTACAGCACGAGTCTTTTCTTAAAAAACTGTAAAATCGGATATCAATAAAAACAACATAAAATTCCTTACAGAATTTTCTATCTATTTTCCTCCCTCGTACTGCATTAAACTTGTGAATTCGATATTAAATTTTGATTATTTTTTTATCTTTTTCATAAATGCATATATCGCCGTTTTTTATTTGTCAAGAGGAAATTTTGAATAAGAGATTGATAAAAAAAATAAGTATAAAATCCGAACAAAATTCTTATTATAATGTATATCAAAAATTTCAATTGTTCTATATTAAATTCTATATTAAATTCGCGTATAAGATGATCTCCTGAACAATATTGGATCTCTGAGATATTTACACAAGGGGGTACTATGCTCAGAGGGCCGTCCTGCTGCGTCGAAGTAGAATAGAAAACTTATATTACTTTCGCTCTTTTCGCGTATAAAGTAGAAGATTCGCAAGGAAATATGTTCTTCTAAAAGTTTTATTCTGCAGATATTATAAATTCAATTACCGAACATATTGATCTCATAAATACTGAGAAATACTGAGAAAAACACATATTTATCTCTCTCTCTCTCTTTGATAACATTAATCAAATAATTCCACTATTAATCTTAAATAATCTCAAATATTTTGTCCCGCTGCTTCGTATTGCGTTACATAAATTCAACTTTCATTCAAGAAGAATTAAGGCAGAGCATTTTCATGCAGATTCTTCAAGTGCCTTGCTAAATTCGCATCAATATTCGCAAAAGCGATTTATAATGCGAATGCGCGATAATCCAAGATGTCTAAGTAACCTTAACTATCTCCCGCGCACATACATATGCATTAAGAATTATGAACTGTCGTGTTCTACGATATAGAAATGAACGCGCGCGCATTTCTCAGAGATGACGGCAAGATTAGATAAGTTTTCATAGAAGAACTTTTAATAGAAGATGGATATTATACCTTGTAATAATTAATGATTCCTTAAAAGCGTCACCGCTTGCACACCGACCAGGTACGACCAGGCGAAAGAAAATGGCCTACCACATGAAGTTGCAAAAATTGTCAACAATCAGTGCTGCAACCATTTTAGGCGTAAACATTGTAACATTGAGATAATCGATATGATCGATAATCGATGTATCATGTCTTAAAATTGTTCTGATAATATCACATCGTTAAATTTTGGCAGCTTATGTATTTATTTTATGAAAAAAGTCTGGTTTTTTAATTAAAAATTGTAATACATTAAAATATTTATATAAGCACGTTTTGAATTGCCGAAAATGGATGTAGCTTCGTATATTAAAGCATTCCTGATTAAAATTTAAATATATAATCTGAATATCTTGATAATTTGCATATATACCTAACTTTTCAATCGGTTTAATCGCTTCAAATTCTATTATTAAAAACAGATATCTCATTTAAATATTGCGCGGAATTGCTTTTATTACAATACATATTAATTGATCAATTTAGAAGACTTTTGGAGAATTTCTGAGCGAAACAATTTTGATTAGTTTTGCCAGGGAACTATGAGATTTTCGTACATTCCTGTGGGAGCACGTGTACGGGAAACGCGTGTAAACCGAAGGCGAGACAGAGAGAACTGCAAGACTCCAAGATCAATATAGGGGATGTTAGTTCGGTAACTGCTTTTCGAGATTCTCCCTCTCGCATCGCCTTTCTCCAGCTTCCGTCTTATATAATTGCATTATCGCGGTATCAGCGCACGGAATCAACGTTGCCCATTGTCTGCGATTGACAGCAACATTTAACTTCAAGTGTGGATTAATAGTATTCCGCAGGCAATCATGGAACAAGTTTGAATCTGAATTCTAGTTTAAACAACCTTATACCTTGCTAAGGCGAGAACTATTCTGAGATTGAATAAATCGCTTGCTTTCAGTTCTGATTTCATTTCTAATTGGATGATAATGCCACGCTGGTGCACATTAAACATTCAGAATTGATTTCAGATTGATTTGGGAACCAATCTGTAATTCTCAGTTTGTGACAATTGTATATTTTTTACACTTTCTGTACGTGATACATACATTTTTTATACGTATTTATGATAAACGCAGTACGCATTTGTATTAAGAGGAATCCAATTCTGACATGTAAATTGAACACCTCTCGATTACGATCACGTAGCACATAAAAATACCTCTCTCTTCGGGTGTGTATTTAAAATATATTTAAATTATATATACTTGCCTTATATATCGACATTTGTAGATGCATTGACGAGATGCCAATAACCTTGCCGAGAGGCCGCTAAAGATAAGTGTAGGCAAAAGACGTTGCTTGACTGAACTAAATATGACGATTCGACAAGAAGTGAATGAATGAATGCAACATTATAAATACAGCGATTCCATATATTCATGATGGTAATATTAACCTAAAAACAAAACAAAAATAATAATTATAAAATATCTTAAATAAAGAAATCTTTGAAAAAAGTACAAATGCAGTAAGTAAGTCACAGGTTGAAAAATAATATTAACTGACAATATTTGAATAAATAAACTATCATAAATACAAAATAAAAGAAATTAACAAACTAACACAGCACATATAATACTGTTTTAGGAAGATATATGCAAATAAGCAGTAATGTCACATTGTGCATCACTGTGACCAATCACCATGTACATTTAGCGGAACGTTAGCTGCGATTGGCCAGTTCTACAGTACACTACATTATGACAAATCAGTTGTTGACAGTATCAAATAAAGTGAGTATAATGAGCTTGCATTTGCGCGTTATTACCTCAAAATGATAATGCACTTGATAATGCTACTTCCTGAATAACGCATTTCCTAATTACGTGCTGCTGTCGACATACATCTGGAGTTGTCGCGTCATTCGTTTCTGTAACATGCATGGAATTTCAACATACTAACCAATAGATATAGTGCTTCTGATAAGAGAAATTCCTAAATTCTTTGTTCTCACGCATTCCTGGACAGTCATAGTGATTATTTAAAATACGCTACCTGATTTGAGGCATTGTTCTCGTTCAATACAGCCAAGATGATTTTCCACATCACGTTTGTGGTCTTATTATTCTTCTCTGCTACATTTGCCGTGAAACATTATCAACCAGAAGCAGTACATCTTTCATATGGCGGTAAGTTTTATTATTTTAATATATATAATTGTTACAAACAATGTTGTTTAAGAAAATTTCAATCTGAAACAAAAATTATGGTTAGAGACAGTTCTGTACTTGTTTCTCAATAATAGCAACTAGAAACCATTAATATAATTCATGTTCTGCATTTAATTTTAGATAATATTCACGATATTGTTGTTACCTGGAGCACAAAAGATAATACAGAAGAGTCGATAGTAGAATATGGTATAGGTGGACTTGTTTTAAGAGCCGAAGGAAATTCTACTCTTTTCGTAGATGGTGGGCAGAAGAAACATAAACAATATATTCACAGAGTGTGGCTAAAAGATTTGACGCCTAACAGCAAATATAGTAAGATGTACATTATGTTTTACTGTTTTCTTACCAATTAATCCTATGTCGTCATTAATCATGAATATTTCACCACTTGTACCAGTGTATCATTGTGGTAGCCGTTATGGATGGTCAAATGTATTTTATGTTAAGACTACACCTGAGGAATCGACAGATTGGTCACCACAAATAGTTCTCTTTGGTGATATGGGTAATGAGAATGCACAGAGTTTGGCACGGTTACAAGAAGAGACAGAACGTGGTCTATATGACGTTGCTATTCATGTTGGTGATTTTGCCTATGATATGCATTCCGAGAATGCACGTGTGGGAGATGAATTCATGCGGCAAATTGAATCTGTTGCTGCTTATTTACCATACATGACTGTACCTGGTAATCATGAAGAAAGATATAATTTCAGTAATTATAGGTATGTCTGTATAGCTAATCGATTCTCTATACAACTTATTGTGAATGTTTTACCTAATATATAAAGATGTAATCTCGTGTTAATAATCTTCTAGAGCTCGGTTCACTATGCCAGGTGATTCGGAAGGCTTATGGTATAGCTTTAATATAGGTCCTGTACATTTTGTAGCTATAGAAACTGAAGCTTATTATTTCATGAATTATGGTATAAAACAAATGATTAAGCAATTTGAATGGTTGGATAAGGATTTACAGGAAGCGAATAAACCTGAAACAAGGTACACATATATATTTTTAATTAGATTATGATATAATAAAATAAAAAATAAAAGAAAGTTAATAATTACAGGGCGCAACGTCCATGGATAGTGACATTTGGACACAGGCCAATGTATTGCAGCAATGCAAACGCAGATGATTGTACTAATCACCAAAGTTTAGTTAGAGTTGGATTACCATTTTTAAATTGGTTCGGACTGGAGGATCTGTTCTTCAAGCATAAAGTGGACTTAGAAATTTGGGCACATGAACATAGTTATGAAAGAATGTGGCCCATGTATAACTTCCAAGTAACTTTGTTACCTATCATTTATCATATTTATATTTCATAAAAATGCTTAATGATAATCAAAAAATTATGACTGTAGGTGTACAATGGTAGCTATGAAGAACCATATACAAATTATAAGGCACCTGTGCACATAGTTACGGGATCAGCTGGTTGCAAGGAAGGACGGGAGAAATTTGTTCCAAATCGACCGGAGTGGTCTGCGTATCGTAGTTCAGATTATGGGTACACGAGGATGAAGGCATTCAACAAAACTCATCTGTATCTGGAACAGGTATGACGTATGATAAAATGAATCTTAGAAATGTCATATTTTGTATATTCAAAACAATTAAAAAATCTCTTTCTGTTATATAATAGGTATCGGATGATAAAGAAGGCGCTGTTTTAGACAGAGTTTGGCTCGTGAAAGAGAACCCTTTACCACAATATGTAAAAGTTTTACCTGCGGAATAATGTGACATGAATTTAATTTCAATTAGCCTCCTGAAATGAAATAGGGAGAGAGGCCAAAGAAGTTTTTCACATGATGCTGTTAGTGAATAAGGTTTTTCTTTCACTCTTTTTGATTGTGTATTATATGTATACGATTATAATTCGAATTTAGTATACATGTTACGTCATTGGATATATCATGGTCGAAATGTCTACAAGAAGAATAAAATATTAGCATGTTTTACGTATGAGCAAGTAAAAAATTAGTAAATGCAAAAAACGTACAATATAATCCTTTAATTGTTAAAATATAAATATATGTGTGTGTATATGTGTATGTATATATATATATATATATATATATATATATATATATATATATATATATATATATATATATAATATATATATATATAAATACATATGTGTATATTTATAATTATATTTATATATATATTATTATTATTATATAGTATATAATATAGTATTAATAATATAATATTAGTGTATAAGATTTCGTATTTCCATCTAAGTCTCACAGTTAATTACTATCCAATGATACATAAAGATATATAACGAATAGCCTTGACTGTTTATTACGAAAAACATATCTTTTCGACTTAAAATTTGTTATAATCAGACATGTGTGAGTTTTACGAAACTTCATGTAATTTTATATATTTTACAATTCCATTTTGACTATAACTTATTCGAACTTTTACGTTCTGCTCATACAATTGTGGCTAATATATTTTCGACCTACAAATTTTTACGTATTTATTTCAATCACTATTGTTTAACTTTTATGTGTTACCTAATTATCTTGAGTTTTGAATCAATGAATTTTCGAAGAACACCTATCATGTAATTTATGTAAAAATGATATAGATTAAGTGATTAATCCTGATAGGAAAAAATATGTTAATTACGCTAGTTATGTGATATATATTTCGATATTTACATTCAAATGTAATTACATTATTCGTACCAGAAAATAATTGTTCACTAGGCACTTTGATCACAATCGTGCATCAAAATTTTTATCATACTGACCAGTTTACCGATAAAATTTAGGTTGATTTATGATAAAATAATTAATGCAAAATTCACTTATTTTGTCACTTGAAATTTTTATATAAGAATTGTATTTCGAAATAATTTTTTAAGAAGAAAAAAATGTAGAATTTAGTAAAAATGGAAACAACAGAATGCAATTTATATGCAAAGCACATATATGTTCCATGTACACAATCTAAAATGTTAATAAATTTTAACTCAAAGACTTTCAGATCAGATGTTTTACTTTAATGAAGCAAGTTCTCATGGAATAGACAGAAAATATAAGCCACAAATTACTCCCATCTTTCCAATTCCAAAAATAGCTAAACATTTGTTTCGAGCAAGTGCTTTGTGCCCGATACAACTCACGATTTTCGAATACTCGCACATCTCTAATTATCATCAGTAATAATAATGACATAAGGCTAAAAAACTTCCAATTTATACAATTCAATTAAAGCTGATATATTACTACAATTCTACTTTCATAATGGATAAACCATTTTCTTTTTCGTTGGCCCTTTGCCAGCTGTAATTTTCTATTTTAGCATTTGCTGTAACAGTCATCTATTGAATTAAAAAAGATCAGGAACTGCCCTTCCATAAATAAGATCATAAACAGTGACAGTAAACTTGGAAAGTGTCAAGTGCAGCTTTTGTTAAATGAAAAATTATATTTACGATTACCGCACGTTTCTTGATGACACGAGAATTGTTCGATATTCACATTATATGTCTCAAGAAGTTTTAGTTAACTTGATTCGATTAAGAACGTAATTTAATCCCTGTCATATTCCTTCGAGTCTAAGCAGCAAGTATAATATTAATCGTACTATCGCGACCTTAATCTTATAGTATACATTTTGCCATATACAATTTTAATGAATAGTTATGTGTATAGGTGTTATATGCGGCGCGCACACTTATACGCATAAATCTAATTTGCCATTGGAGATATGTGACAATCTCTTAAGATGCATAAAAAAGCATCGTAAAGAAAGATAATTTGATTGATCTGCCTATTGGGAAAGTTAAGCTTTGCAGACAATCGTCAGATATACATTGTAACCGAATGTTTTTGCTCCAAGTTTTTCATGCATTGAGCCACACATCTCGTTACGTTAATTAAGCAAAACACTTGACACTGTCAGTGATTAATAGAAACAATGGAAGAAGTTGCTGCTGAATGACTTTCCTGGTATGAAAAGTGCGGGAAATGTTCTTGTTCCTCTGCTATAGAATTTAAACCCCCTCCACTACCTAAACAGCCCTGATCTGGGGGTGTAAGTTCAACACTTTCGCCGGTAAATTCACTATCAAAATATCGAGTGTCAATATCTGAAGTCACTTGCGGCTTAAATGGTGGAGGAATCTTCTTCGCGACAAGATCAGTCCAATTGATACACGAGAAAAATGCGTGATTCATGATGTCTTTCGCATCATTAGGTCCGCCACCTAATCTTCTGCTTGGATCTTTTATTAATAAACCTATAAAAACAATGGATAGAAACAAATTCTCTCATTCGAGAATACATAATGATCATAATGGCCAGTGACGCTTACCTCCAAGCATATCTCTTGCTTCGTTGCTAATCGTCCTAGGAAATCTCACTTCTTCCAATAAAATAAGCGTAAATAGCTTTTCATGATCTTTGTTATAAAAAGGTAGTCGACCACACATCATTTCATACATAACTACACCCACACCCCACCAATCCACAGCACGCCCGTAATCATTATCTTCGAGTACCTCTGGTGCCAAGTACTCTGGTGTTCCGCAAAATGTTTTAGTTGTCCTTCCTGCATTACAATCAATTATAACAAATTATGTCAAAGATTATTATCAAAAGATCATTATTTTTTTGTCATTTCATGAATGATACAAACCATATGTAATGTCTTCTTTGCACAAACCAAAATCAGCAATTTTTATATGTCCATCTTTATCCAAAAGAAGATTTTCCAACTTGAGATCACGATATATAATACCCTGCGAGTGCAAATAACCTAAGGCCGATATTATTTCCGCGCCGTAAAATCGAGTACGATCTTCACCGAATACTCGTGACCGACTCAAATGGAAAAATAATTCGCCACCGTTTACATATTCCATAACAAAACACAGCCTATCTGCCGTTTGAAAACTGTATTTCAAAGACTGAAAATTGAAGAATGTCACGTTAGTTACATACTATATAATATTTAGTAATGGTGTATGTGCATATATTTTTATATCTAATAAACGTACAATTAAAAAAGGATGATTGGTAGTGCGTAATACTCTGTTTTCAGTAAGTGTATGCGCCACTTCATCTTTACGAATTATAACTTCCTTTCTTAAAATTTTGATAGCGTATAAATGTCCAGTTGCCTTTTCTCTACATAGAATTACCTTTCCAAATGTCCCTTTTCCCAAAACTTTTAAAAATTCGAAATTTTCGAGTGTCTGAAATAAACACATAATAGTAAGCTTAGGAATAAAATTATTTGTTAAACTTCTTAATTAAGAATTCCACATTGTGTATATATATGTTATATTATGTGACTATGTATATATACATATATACATACAAATATAAGTATTAGTCATCATATTATTCATATTTAATTAAATACTTTCTAAAAATGATAAGATAATCTCTATACAAATAAACACAGTCAAATAACTTACTACTTTCTTTTTGCCACTGCTTTTACTACTTGAAGTTCCTTGGACACTAAATTTTGCTGATAATTCATCAATACTACCACCATCTAGATCTGTAGATACAACACCTAAAGAACTACAGGAATCAGACCTAGCACCTGCTGACGATTCCATATCAACATCTTCCGAAGAGGAAGATTGTTGTATTTGAGGTTGTTCTTGCTGTTGATTTGCTTCATTCCCTAACCTATTTGCTACATATCTGAAGAAAAACACAAAAAAAGATATCAAACAGTTACACAATATATGACTAAACATTTAGAAAATTTAAATAGTTATTGCTAAAGTCAAACTGTTATGTAGACTCAAAGAAATAAATTATGCACTTCCATTAGAGAAAAGCAATATTAATATGCATTGTTCCCTCTCCTTACCGCTTCCCTCTAACAGAAGTATATCGTTTATCTGTTTTAATTTATGAACAAACCTGATTGCTGCTACCCAGTCTTCTCTTTCTTGCTCCGTTTCTACGTGAAATGTCCTTTCTATTACAGTTGTCCACTGCAGGCCTCTGATAACAAATGTATAAGGTTTAGGTCTATCCACTCTCATTATTTGGCACGCACGCACTGTAAAATTATTTAACGGCTGGGCGGACGTTTGCGCAGCCATTTGTGGGTCAGGTTTTGCTTTGTAACCAACCAGCGTACCATCATCCCTCAAGACAAAATATCTTGATCTCCAATTTTTTATGTGTTCACCTAAAAATAAGTTGACCGATAATTTAATGTTATAAATGTAAAAAAATAATCTGATTAAATATTTAAATGCAAAAACAACTCTAAATTACTTTACAAACAATTCCTTAAATATTAACAATCTTCTCTACGTTTTATTCTAATTGTGTTGCACAGATCTTATATAAAACTAACATAAAATTTCTAATATATTAATATAAAATATATAAGTTCTACTACGCAAGAATTTATATAGCATCAAATATAACGAAAAAGCAACAATACCAAATATATAGAAAAATCAATAAACATTTAATGTAACGCTTCATGAACAAATACAATTTCGTTTGTAAAATGTGTTGCAACGTCCACAACCATAATAAAGTGGCGTAACAACACGCAAAAACAGTAAACTTCTCATTTTTACGAAATACGTCATATAGACATTTGTCCAACCAATCAAGCGAAATCTGACTGTGGTAAATTTTTGTCGACATTTCTCATCGAAGTAAATAATTCGTGCGATAAGCTATATCGATAAACGAAGTGGAAGGCGATGGAAGATGCACACGCTAGGCGCGTTTGAGGTTTGGTATCACTTTCTACATCGCATTGACGAGATGCAACACTAGGGATCACGCATTCGTGACACTTATCCCTTGCGTGACATACGCTCGCGCGAAACGACACAGGAAACTGCGTGCGACAGTCGGCTATGCAATCCCAAGTAAACATTGCGCAAAGTGTAAATATTATGAACAGCTTTGGCAGTACCGCGTTTTTGGAGCCAGCCTTCTTTGACGATACGCTGACCACCGCTGCCGCCACTAGACGCTGCGACATTCATCGCTGCGTCCCCCATCGCTTGTTCGCCGATGCGCACTTGTCGATATTCCGCCGATGCTCCAAGTTTCGTTCCGCGCTGAGAATTTCACAAAAATCACGAACGACACGCAGTAGCGGGAGTGGTACGCATATACAAACTCAAGTAATCATAGATACGCGTGTGGCAGGTAATGCATATGCTGGCATATGTATGTATATACACTATGATCGGCGACGTGATAGTGCTGAACTGAGATGGCTCACCTTCCCTAGTTGTACTATGCACTGTCGTCTGCTACATGCGAATGCGCACGCAGTCGTTCACGCGGGGACAAAGAAAGAACTCATTCCTATCAATTTCCATAAGACGCATGCCAATCTTTGTTCAACAGCGCAATCTATAGTTATTTCACAAAATTACACCTATTTTCCGACTGGTGGTAAATGACACTACTGTTTGATGCGTAATGAATGACATAAAACATGACGCTAAATCCAATTATGAATTAAAAATTCATCTTGTACATAAAAGGAAAAATTTAAGATTTAATTACATATTAATTTTACAAAGATGAATATATTACGTGTATTATAATCCCATATTTAAATATAACTTAAATATTACTTAAATAAATTTCATACAATTATAATAAATTGAGTGTGCAATTAAAACATTCAATGTCACAGATCAAAGTTTCATTGGAATAATCATAATACATGTAATAATTATAGTAAGAACATCGAACATCAAATTTTTGATACGTGTAGCATTTAAATTGCAGATAGATCCCGATTCAGCCTCATCGATTAAACTTACATGTGTTAACACATGTACAATTTACATTTATCACAATTATTATTTATATATACCAACATAGATACTCAGAATTTAACGAGAAAGTGTCCTAAGAAAAATGAAAAATATTCATAAAAACTAAACTTTACCTCCTTCAAGATAATACTTCAAGGTATATCATTTTTCAATTTCTAAAAAAAAAAACCTTAATTCTAAAAACACATTGCTTCTCACATAAAAATCAAATAATTCTTACTAAGAATCATTACACAGAAAAAAATTTTAATTTCAGTTTTCTATTATAAATTGGTTATTCAGATAAGTCAGTCTGATTTCCATATGCTTTAGCAGTAAATTTCCTAGAAATACATTAAACATTATAATATTTATACGAATAACATAGTATTATTATATCTTAAATATAAAATTTATATAATAAAGAAAAATAAACTATTGTATTTGATTAATATACTAATAACTTACTCAATTATACTGGGCAATTCCTTGTATCTACAGATATACTTGTGTCCAAATCCATAGGATGAGTCTATTACTATCATTTGGATACGATTTGTATCATTTCCATGACTATTCATTGCTGCCTGATAAAGCTAAAACACATTCACAAACATTAATATCTTACAATAATAATTTAAAAGCTGTAAGTGACGTTTGTTTTATCTAAAAGAATAGAATGAAACATATATATTGCAGTTATACCTTATCTGCCAAATGAATTGGAATTACACCATCATCTTCAGCATGTAATATTATGACAGGACAATTAATTTTGGCAATATGTTTATCAGACTCAAATCGTAAGTTATTTTTATAAAAAGGTTCAACAATCATCCAATGAAACCATGGTAAATGTTTAAATATCTGCAAATATGTGACATACATAAATGGAGATATGTTTACTAGAAACAATGTAATTTATATCTAAAAAATTAATATTTAGTATACCTGTGCGAATGGATGTTCTGTTAATTCATCCGCTATGTTGTTAAACGGTGCTTCTAAAAACAATCCTGTTGGTTGTATATTTTCAGTTGCTAACAGAGCTAATACATGTGTAGAGACTCTGTCAAATAAAAATTTATATGAATCAATCATACTCCTATTTATAATATCAGTAGAAAAAATAATGCAAGAAAAAGAATATATAAACCAACTTACCCAGTTCCTAATGAGTGACCCCAGACAAAAACTGGAGCTGAACCGTTAACTTTTTTCATTACCCATTCAAAAATATATTTACTATCCATAACTACACCTGCTTCCGAGAGCTCAACCACATCACTATCTCCATAACCTAAAATTGATTTAAAAAATTGTTAGTAAAACACGTATTTAAACATTTAAACACTTAAATATTACTTTCACACAATTATTATAAAATCCAATGCAAACTTCTGATACTCACTTCTATAATCAAAACATATGACATGATAATCTAAGTCTTGGAAAAGCTTATAAAGTTCAACTCTATGGGAACTTGCTCTATTACCACTGTTTCCATGCATATATAGAAACACAGGCCGTTTGGCATTATTTAACACTGCTTCATAAGCTTCATCTGTTGCAGGAATGGAATTATTTAATAAAGACCGTGGTAATATTTGCCTGTAAATACACTAGCTTTTAATACATAAATACATACTATATTGTAACATAGAGGAAATGTCAAATAAATGGTATTGGTAATAAAAAAATTTTATTTCATACTTCATAATTTTGTAATTACTCACCATACACCTATTTTCACTTGTTGATCAGTGTGTAAATAAAAATTTCTAGCACCTTCCAATCCCATTAATTTTGGATTGGAAAATTCTATTTTGATTGGCCATTGCACTGAAATAGGGTAAAATTATACACATTATTAAATAAGATATACTATTCTTATCAGACTTAAATGTCAAGTAAAAGCAATAAATGTTATCTTCATGTCTGATATAATTCCATAAAAAATAATTGTGACTAAGATTATCAATTATGATGCTTTTTATACCTTTTATCAGTTTATAAACTTATATTATTATCAGTTTATAAAATATATAAATATTTGGTAATTACTTACCAAAATTTAAAAATAGTATTTTTCTCTGAATGGTGTAGGAATAATGAAAAATTACAGGCAAAAGCCCAAATAAAACGAGATATAACAATGCAGATGCCTTCATACTCCAAACTAAATTTCTGCAATACAAAATTAACATGTATACATAGCCGCGTGTAATTGATAATTATGCAAATACACAAAATACATATAGTATAATTTTTATGTTATTTTTCATACATTTAGTCATATTAATAAAATAGGATTAACAAAAGATATATACATAAGTAAATATATACAAGCTGTGCTACATTCTTTACCAATTGTAAAACCAATTCTCCCTCCCCATTCCAACAATAAAAAATTAACAACACATCAATCTTTAAATACTTTAATACTTTTTATTTGTAGCATTGTTAAAAAAACTGTATCATGTTAAAAGTTGCAACAATAAATGTTGATTTTATAAAGAAATTGCAAATTTGTTAAGGTTTAAAAGGATTTCTGATAATTCTTGAACATTTTGTGTATAATTTTTTTTTTTTAACATTAATTCAAGCATTTTGTAACATTTGCTACAAATAAACAAAATAATAGAGATTAGTAACCTGATGAAACAATAACAAAATAGTGACAGAAAAACAATGATAAAAAATGAGTAAAAACACAATAATGTTGCTGCATGCAAAAATTGCACAGAAAATTATATATATAGGATAGACATTTCTGTTGTTAAATATATACATAAATTAAGTAAAAAGATAAAACTTATTCAATAGAAAAAAAATATCAAATAAATTTAATTTTAAATATTAACAAGTTGTATGCAAAACAAATGATATGTCATCTATTTCTATTGTATCTTAATATAATCATGTAGCAGTCAGATTATATTCTTAATTATAATTTGTAAGATATATTTCATACAAAACATAATGCTACATACACACCTTTTGATGTTCATGATATACAGCTCACATATAAATTTTCTATATACTTGTATATTATTTATTTAACAAGATTATTTCAAGGCTCATAATAATAAATATAATGGAACAACAAAAGGGGATCAAAAGCCCAAGCAGGATCTGAGTGCTACTAAATTCTTTTTTATTAAACAATGTTATACGTTGTTCGGTCGGTTATGCAACCATATTCAATACATAACATTTGTGTCTGTATTGTATTACAAAATTGAGATTATTAGAATTTGTAATGTTTGTATATTAAATGTAGAGTTTGTATATTAAAAATTGCAAATATATACCTGATAAATATGAGAATTAGTTACAATAAATTTATTAACCATCTCTTCTTCTATTAGTGTCAATTTGTATGAGACTGTGATAAAAATCAAAACGTTACTTTGAAATAAAGTTCATATTTTTTCAGAAAAAGCACAGAAACTTGTAATTACTCAGTTATTAGAACGTCATTAATTTAATGTTGTCTTTTGTATGAGCTGTGAACGACTGTAGAGAGTATTAGACTGTCGATGCTAAGAGGAAGGAAATAGAAAGGAGGTGGGGATAAGATAGAAAGGGGATTAAGATTCAGGAAGCAAACGCAGAAAGGGGATAACTATTCATCATTAAAATATTGACTAGAAGTATTTCAGTGAAATTGCCTTGATGGAAACATGGATGAGAGAGTAGAAAGGCTCTATCCACTAATCCCATTATAACACCTTTTTTATGGCAGTTCGGATGGTGTAAATAAAAATTAAGGTACCTACCCTCCTACCTTTTATTTTTCATAATATAAGAGAAAAAAATGGACTAAATAAGCAGAGTGACATTGAACTCCTCCCCGATAACTACACTCTTATTAAATTACTACCATCTTTCAGTACCATTGTTCACAGCTAAAAAAAAGACAACGTTAAATTAATCCATCACGTTCTAATAACTGGGTAATTACAAGTTTTTGTGCTTTTTCTGAAAGAATGTGAATTTTATTTCAAAGTAATGTTTTGGTTTTTATCACAGCCTCATATAAATTGACACTAACAGAAAAAGAGATAACTAATAAAATTTATTGTAACTAATTCTCATATTTATCATACATTTGCAACTTTTAATATACAAACTCGTTACAAATTCTAATAATCTTAATTTTATAATATAATACAGACACAAATGTTATGCACTGAAGATGGTTGAATAGTCAACGGAAACATTTACTACAACATTATTTAATAAAGAAGAATCCAGTAGCACTCAAATCCTGTTTTGGCTCTTGATCCCCTTTTGCTATTCCATTATATTTATTTATTTAATATTATACTTATATATTTTTCACCGATAAAAAAGAAGAAATTTATAAAACTCTTGATACATTTACTTTAATTTGCTCTTGTTACATATAATTTATATTTAACTTTATATTTGATCAGTTTTACATTTTTATTTATATTAATTTAACTTTATTTATTAAAAAAAAATTAAATAAGCTTGAAAACTACATCATAATGCACAGTGACATCGTAAAAAAATACAAAATATTCACAAAATTATAGTTGTAATAACTTACATTCCAATGTACCAAATCTCAAGGATGACGAATGGTACTAATGCTGCTGCTATTACTAGTGGATCATTCAACTTCATGATTGTTAGTAGCTATTCGTTTACAGTATTTTCTCGTCGCAAGTCCTTTCTTGGATCAAATTTAATTCCACAAACTTGTTATAAAAAATTATCGTTATTATGATAAATATAAGATAAAATTTAAATGGTTATAAAAATATTTAATATTTATATACATTATATGTTGCATTTATATAAATTATATGTTGCTTTTTTAAATATGTATCATTTATAACAAAAAGAGATTTATATAATTTTATTCTTACTTCAGTCTTCTTTCCATACTGTATCTTTATTTAATAAATATAACTCATATCTTAATCTTAAACATCAATTTTAATTAAAAATAACATAACATTTTTCTACTGACATATATTATATAGAAATAATATATAACAAGTACATAAAAAAATAAATCTTTAAGATAAATTAATAAATATCTTTATATATACTATCCCTTTCACTGCAATAATTAAAAATTCTTTATACAAATTAAATTAACAAATTTATTTAATAAATTGTGCACTAAAAACTAACAATTTAATTATTTCTTTTTACTAAAAATTAAAAAACCTGTAAGTATCCTTCACGTAACACATGCGTTATCACTTTCTAAATATTTATAGCGTTAGTGCTCTTATGTAAAGTAATAGTATGCGTAAGTGTCGTATTAGTATCAATTCCAATCCTTATCGTTACCAAGCTAGCAAAACAATGTGATAGTATAATAATAATCAGAATATTTAATCAATTTATAATATTCAATTTCGAGTGAAGGAAGGTAAAGAATACATGCAATTTTAACGAGACAAGCGGATACCTTATCACAAAACGTTTCTTCGGTAACCAATATACCATTATGACAGACCGATATTATTAATACGAAAAACGGCGAACACACTTATTCCGTCAGAAGATTGAGAGATATTATTTATGTAATTAACACTATGAACTATATATATATATATATACATATATATATATAAATGACGTTTATGCCGCGGAAGAAAGTATGTATGCAATTCCGAACGTATATTACGAATGTATATTCCGCGATTTTTACGTTATATCGTCACGATATTCGGAGTGATTCGTGTTTAAATAAAGGTATTTGCACGTCTATATTATATTATTGTCATTAATACTGATTATTTAATACTGAAACAATTGAGGAGCACGGAACAGCGTGAGTTAACCCGACGTCCCGACTTGAGCTTCAAGATTCGACTACTTGGACTTGGACTAAAGTGTGCATATCTCGTAAGAGATTGGCGGAGAGTGCAGGTAGTAGACACAAGAACAATGTGTTAAAACGACGCATGTTGTTCCTTCTCCCTTCTATATGCCAAAGCTTGAACATACATACCCGTTTTGATGGTATTAGAAATTGATGGAAGAGTAAAAACTTCTGTTAAAACGAGCGAATCTAATACTAAGGTTGCGTAAAATCTATTGCGAGAATCTTGTTACGTACAAGACCTTACGAGATATCTGTGTAAATGTACGGTATTATTTCCTGCACGGCAATCCTACTTTTATTACACATCGATAGTTATCGGGTGACTGGTATACACACTACGCATGACTACGCATCAGATGCAGTTTGTTATCCTTGAAATTTGAATAGCAGTTAAAAATGAGTAACCTTACGAGTTATCGCGGTGAAAAATGATGAACTTTGCTCATCCTAAACAAAAGCGCTTTTTTTACCTCATTCGATTATCGTTTTGCATCAAATTTGAGAACACTAAATATAGAAAGTTGCCGAATAAATTTTTACAATAATGTATAATTGTATATTTTAAGAATTTTTATACTGCCGTGTTTCTTATATTATCTTAATTTAATTTAAAATGTAATCATATTGTTGCAAATATTTTTAAATATGTAAACAATCAAGTTTTTGTGTATACTCAGTATACATTCATGTAAATTTGAGTAAATACATTTTTAGTCCGACTTACATTAATACATTTGCATTGATGCAAACAAATATTATGTTATCTTGCTTTCTTAAGTCCGTGTAAATGCGGCTACAATTGCAAATTATTCCTTATTTTCTATTGGTGAACATATAGGGAATAAATAGTGACAAAAAAGTGACTAATAAATGTACTGCACTGTAATGTATTGTAAAGAGCAATGTAACCGTTCACAGCCATCTATATAACTTAAATGTTTATGGAGAAGGTTGCTTGAAATTTGATGACATATCGTGGATAGATTAGGTTAAAACTGTTTACCTTTAAAATATCTACGAAGAACCCGATCTATATTACTTACAAAGGTATGCGAAATATCGCTTATACTCATCTTTTATACCATTGAAAATGAATAAGCATCATGATGTAAAATTTAAATGTTTTTTATTTGTATACTTGTGCATAATTTATTCAGCATATACTGATGTTTTTATGCATTAATAGATGAGCAGAAAGGAAGCGTTATCTCAATTTATACAACAAATTCACGGACGGCCTGTTGTTGTAAAATTAAACAGTGGTGTTGACTATAGAGGTAATAAAATTAATACAATATTAGCAATGTTTTTAGCAATAAAATCACCTGTATTAAAATGTTGATCAGTTTTCTTTGTTCGATTAGTTTAGAATATAACAGAACTTAACAAGTGCTGAAATTATTTTTTTTAAACTGAAGTGCAATATATCCTTCACAGGTGTATTAGCTTGTATAGATGGTTATATGAACATAGCACTGGAACAAACAGAAGAATATGTGAATGGACAATTGAAAGACAAGTATGGTGATGCCTTTATAAGAGGGAACAATGTGTTATATATTAGTACACAAAAACGTAGAAACTAATCATGAGGTAATTTTAAAATAACATTAAATATAAAATAAGTGCGTAAAAAGTACTATAAATGAACAAAAAAATGAATAAAAATTTACCACTAAGACAATTAAAAAAAATTTATTTTGGTATATATTTTGAAAGCTTACTTCTAAAATAATTTGATTAATTATGATTAATTTTTGTTATACATAAATGCTTTTACATAATATTTGTATCTTCTACGAACAATAAAAAGTTTATATTACTATACATTTTATTTTATTCAAACATGGTTTGTTACTTGCTCTTCGTTCAATATTTCCTCTGTTTTATCAAAATTTGCTTCTTTTTCATCAATTTCATCAATTTGTGACTGTGCACAATCTATTTGAGATGCATTTGTTTCACCATGAGATATAGAATCACTGTTTTCATTTAAAGTTTCCACACTTGTATTTTCTATCAATCTTGATCTCTTAGCTTCTTCTTCGCGTTCTTTCTGCCTCTGAAGTCTTCTTTGAATAGCTAGTTGCTTGTTTCTTTCAATTTTTTCTTTTACCCCATCATTTAATTCATCCTTGGCAATGGTTGTATGTTGTTCTTGTGAATTTGATATGTTATTAGATTGCATTAAAAGTTGATCAAATGCATCATCGTTAGAAGTGCTAGGAGCAGGTATAGAAACTTCCATTTCAGCTTGCTTTTGCTTTTGAATTTGTTCTGTTATCAATAAATCCAAATCATCCATAGGTGCGCTTTCCTGCTGCTCTCCTTCATCATCCGTGTCATCTTGAATGATTACATCATTGTCCGAAGTAATCATATCCAACCGATATTTCTTAAGAAATACCTGCAGATCCTTTTTTGTTCCAAGCTGCTCAACTCTGGTAAGAAAATCATCAAAATGATACTTTGGAAATAATCGATAGGACCAATGTTCCAATCTTTTCATAATTCTGTCAAGATCTGTTTTTTCATATCCTTTGCCATTGAACTTGAAACCTTCAAAATACTTTTCAATAGTTTGAATGCCATTCGGTCCTTTTAATCTTTCTGTATTAAGTTTGGGTATAGGATTTCTTACTACATGTGTCTTAGACTTTGATGGATCAATTCTTTGTGCAGTTTCTAATTCGTCATCATTATCATATGGTTCTCCTCCTGCTTCTCCAAGACTGCCATATTCGCCATCAGACTCTTGATTTTCATATTGTTCTACAATATCATCGTCACCTTCATAATTTGAAACATTGGCCATAATAGTATAAAATATTTGATTAAATTTAAGCACCGCTTATACAGACCTGAAAAAAAATTATAAACGTTATTAAATGTGATAAAATCTAATCCTAACCTATATTTGCATACAATAAAATCTAACACTTTTCTTTTTTACTTCAACAAAATCAATGTAATCAATGTATGTCTCATCTTTCTCAGACAGTTTATATATATAAAATTACGGCAAATATTTTAACGATAAACTTTTAGAATACTAAATGTACGACGGTTTGTAAGAATATAATTAGGCTTACTTGATGTTTAAATACTGAGTATTCTAAAACTCGCTATCGTCCTGTGACTCGCAATTTGTTTTCTCGTTTTCCATAAACTCGTCAAATTGACCGTCTGATTTCTTCATTCGTTCCAAAACCGATACAAGCAGCTTTTTGTTTAGGAGATCGGTTTGAGTTATTTCCCGCACAACGGACTCGCACTTTGGTTCGTCCGGCGATCGTTCATTTTGCAATTTCCCTAACATATTATTGTCTTGCTTCATCGGAGTTCCAGGCATCTCGTTTTATTATCGTATAGAGATTACGAATGATAATATTTAATGATTATATATATTCACGTTTACGTGAATAAATATCAAATATACTCAGAGACGTTTCGTTACAAGAAGTAAAATATCACTACCTATTAACCATAGATAATAACAGTATTTACCATAGATAATACCGATTGATCAGACAATAGGGGTGCGTTTCACCTTACGCCCACAGCGCTCGCAACATTCGTAAACTCGTTCCACCTAACGACCGCGGTCGCTGTGGTCACACTTGAAACGTCATAGATGACGTCATTGATTGTGACGCGTCGGCTCACGACGCCCGTGGTTCAAAACGTGGATTGTCGTGATCGTAGCCATGTTCGCGCATGTTTTTAAACTGTTCGTAGTGTTTGACAGTGACAATGTCGTCGCAAAAAATTCTGTTTTACAATACTGAAAGCGACACAGTGATAGAAGTAAATTTATCAGAAGAAGATGCCGTTCGCGCTCAAAATGGTAAGTCATATACTTTTAATATATCAAGAAATTTTAGTCAATAAGTATTTCCAGGACAACCATAACCCTAAACAATATTCGGTATTTTCTAATTTGGTAATTATTACTGAACCGTTACTAAAAATTGGTACTTACTAAATCATTTAGTACTTAAAAAATTTAGTACTTACTAAATCATTTAGTTATAGTTACTAAATGATTTTGTGATAAATGCCAAATAATTTGATAATTATTACTAAACTGTTATAAAAATTGGTTAATACTTACTAAATCATTAAGTTATGGTTACTAAATAATTTTTTGATAAATGCCAAATAATTTAGTAATTATTACTAAACCGTTACTAAAAATTGGTTAATACTTACTAAATCATTTAGCAATAGTTACTAAATATTAAGTAATAGTTACTAAATATTTGGCAATAGTTATTAAATGTTTGGTAATAGTTACTAAATATTTGGCAATAGTTACTAAATATTAGGAAACAGTCAATAAATCATTTGGTAATAGTTACTAAATCATTTGGTAATAATTGCTAAATTATTTGGTAATATTTACTTAATATTTGGCAATAGTTACTAAATATTAGGTAATAGTTACTAAATATTTGATAATTGTTACCAAATTATTTAGTGATAGTTACTAAATATTTGGTAATAGTTACTAAATCATTTGGTAATAATTGCTAAATTATTTAGTAATAGTTATTAAATATTAGGTAATAGTTACTTAATTATTTAATAATATTTACTAAATCGTTTTGTAATAGTTACCAAATATTTGGTAATGTTACCAAATCATTAGGTAATAGTTACCAAATATTTGGCAATAGTTACCAAATATTTGGTAATTGTTTTGGTAATTATTATCAAATATTTGGTATTAATTATTAAATTATTAGATAATAGTTATTATATCATTTGATATTAGTTACTAAATTATTTTGTTATATTTACTAAATTATTTGATAATAGTTATTAAATTATTTTGTAATACTTACTATATCATTTAGTAATACTTGCTAAATTATTTTGTAATACATACTAAATTATTTTGTAATACTTATTATATCATTTAGTAATATTTGCTAAATTATTTAGTAATACTTACTATATCATTTAGTAATACTTACTTAATCATTTAGTAATAGTTATTACATGATTTTATAATAAATGTCAAATAATTTGGTAATTATTTCTAAACTATTACTAAAAAATTTGGTAATATTTACCAAATTATTTAGTTATAGTTACTAAATGATTTTGTGTTAAATTTCATATAATTTGGTAATTATTACCAAATTATTATCAAAAAATTTGGTAATACTTTCCAAATCATTTAGCTATAGTTACTACATGATATTGTGATAAATGTCAAATAATTTGGTAATTATTACTAAACTATTAACAAAAAATTTGTTAATACTTATTAAATCATTTAGTTATAGTTACTACATGATTTTGTAATAAATGTCATATAATTTTGTAATTATTACTGAACAATTCGTTTATATTTACATATCATTTTGTTCTAATTATTATTTTTTTAGTGTACCTAAAATGACTTTTGTAACTCATGATCCATATAACGGCGGACAACATTGTCGTAGCCTATAATTCGTGGACGAAGTTTACGCTTTTTTCTCTTTCGCAAAGCTACTTTCCACTCGCTTTCGGAGCTTGAGGAACTTTCTGATTCTTTTCTTCTTCGACGCATCAGCAACGTAATAGCTATTTTAGTACTCATATTTGATGTTGTCAACACGACACCGGCCATGTTGTTTCGCCTGTCTCCGTGGTCGTCTAATGCGTTCCACTAAAACTTTCGCTCGCGACGTTTGCGAGCTAGTGGAACACGCAATTTTGCGATCGTGGTCGCGGTCGTTGCGAGCGTTAAGTGGAACGCACCCTAGGTAAAAAGCGAGTAGACTAAAGGCGCATTCAAAAGATTTGCACAATTTTGCAAGCATAAGATCAACCAATTACGTATCTGATATTGAGTACACTCTAACTGGTTAATAAATTTGGTTTTAAATTTATGATCGACAATTATATATATATTATTGATGTTTTTCGTATGTATAACATAGTTTGCTACTTCTTTGATGACTCATTTTTAAAATGGATAACAATAGATACACTCAGCGTTTAACAAAGTTTGACAAACTGAGTACATCTTTTAAAGTTGTTATTACCTAAAATA